CCATCATTTCAAAAGTTAGTGTGTTGGCATTTGATTAGCTTCAACTTTAATAAATCTTTGAGGTTATGATTGCCTACTGATAAAGAGTCCCAAACTGGGAAGAAACAGCTTCCCAGTACTCCCTGGTCTTCAGTTGTTCTCTAAATGATATGAATCCGTGATCAAATTTAAAATCAATCCAAATCCTGTGGACTAACACTTGAGAACTAATCAGATACTCACTAGTGACTGACCATAGGCTCAAAAATTGGGTAGAAATCTAGTGAAAAGTTATGATCAGTCAGTCTATCGGCTCAGGTGTGAGGGACAATGCTCATCGATCACATTTTCTGATAGTTGTGCTAAAATTGTGAATTTACAGAAGTTAAAAATTCATGGTTTATTGTATTCTGTCCAGGTGGAGAGTTGGTTAACGAGCTCTTATTCGCAAACTAAATGTCCTGGGTCAGCTCCCCTGTAGCTAGAGTCATGATAAATTCCATCAGAAACTGGAATCAGTTAGAGAGATACTGGGAAACATGGGAGCAATAACCAGTTATGTTGCTCTGGCCTGAGATTCTTCATTAGGACAGATTAAATGTAGTCCAGTAGTGCGTCGGTGGCACAGTGGTTAGGACGCTCGCCGACCATACACATGGTCCGGGGTTCGATCCCCGGCCACCGACGCACTCCTTTACCTCGCTAAGCCAGTAATAATGCTGGTGAAGAGGAAAGGTTGGGCATGAGGCTAGCAACCCCATCCTGTAAAAAGAACACTGCTACAGAAACTTCAGGCCACTAGCTTGAAGCCCTATGTTCCACTGGGGAACGTGAAGGAAATAAAAAATATGTATCCAGAACCTCTAAGAGTACAAAGTGATTGTCTAACCTTACCATTCAATCACTGCAACAGAAACCCAATGACTAGCCCATGAATTCTAGCATGTGCCTATTCGTAATATATATAAAGTAAAGCTAGTTAATGTCATCAACAAGTGTCTGTGCTTACAGCTGATTCGTTAAACTTCACCACTCATTATTGCCCGACTGGACTTCAGGAATTCCGTCCCTCAGTTAAATATTGCTGACCAATAGACTAAAAAATCTAGAGCTGGTGAGTAGGGTTTTGATCAAGCCCCTACTTAATTCAGAACTGTCTTCCATCAGCTTTCATACTGTAAGCAGTGAATGAGTCATCTTATTGTTATTTGTGGATTCTGTTTCTAAATAAAAGGTGATTCAAAGACGAAGAATACGAAAGAACCAGACTTATCCTGATAGTAATATGTCCAACAGTCAGACATGTTCACTCTGCAACCATGTAATGTATTTTCGATTGGATGGACTCAAAGATCATGCAATAAGAAGTAGGAAAGTGAAATGCCACAGTGTTAAACACTAATTTACCATGATATAGACCATTCACAGAGCTGTAGCAAGATCACCTCGTCACCTGGAGACTCTCGGTTTGATAGCTGGGGAAGTCATGCATGTGAACCGTTTAAAAGTCCCTAACTGATATGAAAAATCTATCTATTACTCCCTAGTTTTTGGTGGTTTCCTGCACTGATGCCAGTTTGTGAAAAAGCCAACTTTAAGATTGTGGCCGTAGGTGATTTGTTGAAATGATTAGTCTACAGCTCTCATCATTATTCAGTATTAGGTGCTGGTCTTTACTGTTTAGGTTAACTGGTGAAACTTAAGGTACACTCAAAGTCAAACATCCACACCACTCGACATACGCATCCCAGCTAGTTATGCGGTCATCACTACTCTGCACTTCTGATCCCGAAGTATATTTCATATTTTGAAAGGTCACTCTGTTTTTTTTTAAATTTTAATTTGGTCCAATCATTAGAAGTACACTTGGGGTTGGGGGATATACGATTGCACGTGTATATATATATAAAAATTGTATGCCACTGAAACTATTAAAATCTCACAGGCTCACTCATGTTACTAAGGTAACAATCCACAATTTACCTAACGCTGTGCATTCAGAGATGGATTACTGTAAAGGATTGACATTTACACTGAAATAACACTTTCCATTTTGGGTGAAATTTGTTTTGATAAAGTCCCACAGTGTTATACAGTAATGTTTACTGATGACCAGGTTTCGAGTACAATTTATCGCTTATAATCATATCAACGTACTCACACAAATTTCTAACCTCGTTTATATAATTCCACCATTATTTTTCATCGTTTGATTTGATTGGTAGTAGTATTCTCCATATTTCCGGTATGAGTGATGAGTCATTCCTATTGCATGTGTTAGGTGTAGACTCGATGAACAAAGATTCAGTAATCAACCTCTCTCTCCATCTACCTAGAATACTTCATATGTCGATCACATGTCGAATCAAGTTTTCACTCACGCACATAAGCGAAGCAAGAAAGTTGTGTGAGTACCTTGATGTGATTATAAGCAATAAATTGTGCTCGAAACCTGGTCATCAGTAAACATTACTGTATAACACTGTGAGACTTTATCACAATAAATTTTACCCATAATGGAATTATACTCTACCACAGTGCAACAAGTTTTATTCTTATATCAATGAAATAACACCTCCATTATCCCCGAGAAGCAGAATCTTACTAGAGCCTGATTACTAAAACTTCAAATTCGAAAATCCCTAAGCGTGCTTTCGAATTTCTAAAAATTTCAGTTCCACTTTACTTAAAGCACTTTATTGTACAATTTGCAATGCCAATAAAGTCTCTCATACAAAGAAATGAATCTAGATGACGGTGTTCTTCTTACTCACCTACTTACTCAATTCAAGCTAATATCTTTTCAAATGAATATTACACCAAGATTTTCATTGTCAGACTACACATATGTGCAGAAGAATACATGCTTCACTAGCTTTAAACAAAAATAAATAAAAGACGCAAGTGAATTCCGAACACATTTCAAAGGATATAATCATAGATCCATCGTGTAAAACTTAGACTAAGAATTCATGGGTTCTGTGATGGAGTGAAGATATCTTCTTAGTTGAACAATATATCCTTTGACGTTTCACAAGGATATTGAATATGCACACCACGTTAAACTAGAATAAAAGGAGGAAATGTTGTATCATAAGAAAGTGAACATTCTAACTGACTGGATGACTAGGTTTCAGCACATAGAAGTGCAGATGTTCAAGTTGTCATGCTTTATACTGCAGACAAAGGTAGTGAAAAAAAGGGAAACCAAAACAACCATAATGGGCGAAAATATACGGGAGAAAGAATAGAGACATGCGAAAAACACGATGATTTGTTGAACCTAGGAGGTCACCAATATTTTAGCGAGTATTCTGCTACAGAAGACAAGACAACTGTTTGCTTAGGATAATTTGTGATGTAGTCCAAAATACCATCAGATAAAAGAATTACGTAAAACTACAATAAAATGAACTTTTTACACAGCAATAAGTCAGCAAAATCACCCTCATCATTAATCATAAAGTATCATTCAGAGAAGTTCAGATTTAAATAACGAATTGAGCAATCAGGTTTAAAGTAGAAATAAATCAAGATGAAGTATAAACAGTATTGTAGTGGTAGGTAATTCCACAGTATTATTGGCTTTAGCATTCATCACTAAACATTGGATGTTGACCCTCACTGTTTAAGTCAACTTGTTTATCTGAAAACTTCTGTTCAAGCATCCACGCCATTTGGTACACTGTCGTGTCACGTTCGTTCGTTCGTTCGTGCACGATCCCTAGCTGGCTAAGCAATCATCTCGCACTCCGATTTGGTCCCGAAATATAACTCGTAATTTGGACGATCAATTCTGGTGTTTTGCTTTGCCTTTGGCCTAAACGGAACGAATACTATAGAAGTTGTGTGTATTAGATCTTGCGTTAGTATACTTCGTACTATCTATGAACGTCAATACCTTTAACCTTTAATGTATCATTTATCACGATATACAACGTCACTACTCAGAATACACTAAAGAATTATTAGACTATAAAAAATCAGCTTCACAAAGACACAATTTTCAGTCACATTCTGTTACTACTTCATATCTAAGAGCCACCAGAAGTAATAACGCTAAGCTACCAGTAATCTGAAAACATAGGAGGCTAATAGTAACAGTGCAAATTAATATGTAACAAAAGCAGACTTAGTGGGGTTAGTCGATTGCTTTAGACGCTTATGCCTTATAACAGTTTTACGGGACATCTAACTATGCACACTGCTCATACAAGTTGTAACCAACTTCCAGTCAACGGTTTGCCAGTACTCCACACCTGAAAATATTCAACCTTCAGGGTGAGTGGATGGTATGCTTCGTGGGCTGCTGAATGCTGCAAAGTATCTGTAGAGAGAAGACTCCAGACATTCTTCTTCCAGATAAGGCTTCCAAATTTCTGTATGAGTACGTTTTGCAATTTTCACATCTTACATGCAAGTCTCCAACCATAATATTCTATTTGGTTAACCAGCAACTTCTAGCAAAACTGCCAGTTTACTAGAAGTTATTGAAAGAGTCGCCATCAAGTCTGTGTCACTAGAATACGCGTCAGAGTCGGTAACACGTAGTCCATTTTTATTGTTGAGTATTGCTGAATAGGTAAATAATTTCACAGAAACAACAGCCTGCAGCTAAATCGACACACAACACTGACTACTGACTTTCCCTGTTTTACTACAGTTGCTTTCATGTATTCCCATTATTTGTTTGCGTTTGCTCCTCTCTTGGTTTGGCCCAGTTTCTTACCTTGATGACTACCTTCATCACTTTCCACTACTCTTATTTCTTTGACCAAGCAAAATAAACAGTTGGTTGGAATACTGAAGGCTGGTTCAAAAAATGTTACTATTGACAAGACATTCTCTGAAACCGTGTCACCATTTCGTTGTCAGAGGAACCACAAATGCCTCTCAGCCAACCAAGCAGACATACAGCACAAAAAGTCAGCGCTGCAGTAATTTTAAACGCCTAGTAATGATTGAAAAGAATCCAAAACGTACGCATTTGCAACCCACAGTGTACCAAGCTCTAAAAAATGTGGACAAATTATAAAAAACTTTATTTAAAAAAAAGGAAATTGTTATATAGTTTTGTCAAGGAGCAGTAAATCATAAAATTATCACCTGTAAATGTCTATATCTCCATCACATGAGAGCTTGAGAGCAGTTCCCTAATGTAGTGATCGTTTTATTTTCACCTTCAAGCCACACTCGACTCCACACTTTCACCAAACAGATTTCTTCCTAAAACGCTGTTTTACAGCTATAATTTTACTACCTCATCAAGTCTCAACTCGCAATATGGAGAAAGCTCAGGCATTACCACCTCAATCTTGCTGCAATTAGTTGGTATAAAAACAACCGTGAATCTATACAGCACACCTTGAACAACCTAGAATTGTTAAACTATATGTTTCACAGCCCACCTGGGATGTACCATTCACAATTTGGGAAATGACATAGTAGTCTGTATAGTTTGACATCTCATTGAATAATTGTTGCGCTGTTTGTAATGCTGGCTTAAATTTGTCGTCAGTGAGTTGATCGGCAGTCATTTTCATTGGAACACCAGTAAGAATAGCATAAGAGATGCTAACACACAACACGAAAACAAGTAACCTCATGTTGCTGTAACTTCCTTGAATTGAACTTCCTCTACTTATAATTATATAAGTTGAGCAGAAATAAACAAAATAAGATGTCCAATGCTCCAGGAGTTTCGAATGTTCTTCTTGGCGAAAACCATGTAAATTCTCAGCTCTGAGCATTCACTGAGGTGGCTTTACTGGTATTTTCGACGCATGTCTGAATTCCTTGTATCCATTTGACCTGCAAGTACGAACGAATTGATTTCTTTGAGCATTCATCTCTGTGATTAAGCAATGTTTCCTTATCCTCGTTAGATATTTTGTGAAAAATGTTTCAGAAAATCCTGAAGCAATATAAGTGATATCAAGAATATGAACAACGTTTTCGGCGACCGCAGCCAGTAGAAAACCACTTTCGTCAAACGTGAAGTTCAGTAAAAAGCGGAAAATATTGACCCATCTTTTTTAGCCATGCCTTACGAGAAATGGAAGGATGAAATCGTCTATTCAAGACATTCTTCAAAACACATCCTTGAGTTAAGCTAGCACTCTCAGGGTGTTCGTGTAAATTGGACCTTAAGACTGATAATTTGTGATGTTTCATTTTGGATATTTAACACCTATCCATCTGCTTGTTGTGCACCCAAATGTAAACCTTGTGCATTGCTCAGACAGTCAGCTATTGTTCTTTACTGTCGCTTACAACGCACAACTCCTTGCCGGTAGTTAATGGTTTCAACGCAATATTTTCTTGGGGTACTCCAGGAGTTCCCTGGCAAAGTCTACATAGAATGCTCTTCATTCCCTTCAGATTATGCTTTAGCACTTGTTTATAAGGGCTTTGAATTTTTTCTGACTTCTTCAGTCTTACAACTTCCCCATTTATGCTACACCTTTAACTCGGTCTATTCCACACATTAGGCGCATCACCTACACCAAAAATACTACTAATAACGAATAGTGGTCACTGCAGTGATGGTGTGTGAATGATTCTCTCCACTGTTGCCTAGTGCTTGTCAACTCATGCCCTTTACAAAATCTCTTGGTTATGTAGTACCCCTATACCAACTATAAACATACGTTTTTAATCTAATTTGCATACTCATATTATATGTTTACACATACCGATTTTATATGTACTTCGTAAACATTTGCCAATTTACTGTTGAACGTTACCTTGATACAATTTCGAAATTTGACTACTGCTATAATACACGATTATACTCTTCACAAGTGCCTTCTGATTTTACGTTGTGGGTGTCGAGTAGCCACAACGTCTGCGCACATTGATAAACGTGAAGAAGTACTAGGAAATACGTGTACGCTCATTTAGTCAAATAGAACACGCAACAAATTGGTGAGCCCAACGACAAATTGCTGACTCCGATGACGACTTTTTGACCTCGACGCGTCGTACACTTGCTGGATTATTAAAACTCTAACTTTCGCGGATCTATATATTTATTAAACAATTCGAACTCACTCGGATCTATATATTTATCAAACAATTCGAACTCATTCTTGTGTTTCCTCATAGCACAACCTGCAGTAATTTGTGGTAAGCACCTGCATTGCATGTTTTTCTGTTTTGCCATATTCTTATTGTGCACAAATTTTGCTATTTTGCTACTCTTAAACCATTTTTTTACGGATTGTAACATGTCTTCCAATACCTCTGATAACTTAGAGCTGGGATCTGTTAGTACTATTTCTCTTACTGTACCAGTTTTTAAGCCCAGAGACCCCCATCTTTGGTTTGCACGACTGGAGTATTATTTGGCTAGCAATAAGCTCACATCACAGACAGCTAAATTTGGCATTTTGAGTACAGTACTACCAGACGAAGTCGCCGAGCAGGTACGGCAATACATCGTTCAACCCAGCACAGAAGCGCCTTACGACAAGTTGAAGGAAGAGGTACTCCGATGCACTTCGCTTTCGGATAGGCAAGCACTTGATCGCCTGTTAAGCAATGTTGAGTTAGGTGATAAAACCCCATCTAAACTCATGAGGCATATGCAAAGCCTAGTTGCAGGAAGAGAAATCGATAAACGTCTCTTTTACCAAATATGGCTACGACGACTTCCCGCAAACATCCAGCAGGTTCTTGCTTTCGGAGACGACGACACTGACATAGAAAGGCTCACCGAAATCGCGGATCGCATGTACGAGAGGTCAACACCTCAATCTGTCGCTTCCGCTAGCAGAATACCAGACACTCACGATAGAATACAGACTCTAGAACACAAAGTCGACACCTTACTGAGTCAGTTAGCAAAACTGACTACACGCACGCAACCAAGCCGTTCTAGAAGCTCGTCTCGTCGACGTCTTTCTCGATCCCCTAGCACGTTACGACATCGCGATAGTATTTGCTGGTATCACCGTAGTTATGGAAGCAATGCACGACGGTGCCGTTCACCTTGCAACTTTCAGACTAAACCAAAAGATATATCGTCATGTGTAAAAAATACTGTTGGCAATCTACGATCTAACAGTCGTTTGTTTTATGTAACAGACAAAAATACCGGTACTACATTCTTAGTTGACACAGGAGCAGAGGTGAGTGTTCTCCCTCCGTCTACACAGGAACGTCAACATCCTGACCCAGCAGTTACCCTCCAAGCTGTTAATCAGTCCAGTATTGTTACATATGGAACTAAACGAATGACTTTAGATTTTGGTTTAAAGAATACCTACACTTGGTCTTTCATCATCGCAGACGTCCCATCTCCAATCCTCGGTATCGATTTTCTACAGCAACACAAACTGTTAGTTGATCCGATGAGCCCCAAGCTTATAGACTCGCTCAATAAAACGTACATTGCTGGTACGATAAGCCGTGCATCATCACTGAACTTGATGGTCACACGCACACCAGCATCTCCATATACCAACTTGGTAAATCAGTTTCCTGACCTTTTACAACCTTCTTTTCGAGGAACAGAACCGAAGCATCATGTGGTTCATCATATTAAAACCACTGGACCACCAGTTTTTGCACGTCCCCGACGCCTTGACCCACATCGACTTAAAATCGCTAAAACAGAGTTCGATAAAATGCTAGAGCTTGGTATTATTCGACCGTCCAACAGCTCTTGGTCTTCACCGCTTCACATGGTACCCAAAAAGTCTTCTGGTGAAATACGGCCGTGTGGTGATTATCGAGCTTTAAACAAGCAAACGATACCTGATAGATACCCAATACCACATATCCACGATTTCGCTAGCAACTTACCAGATGTTAAAGTTTTCTCTAAAATCGATCTTGTCCGAGCGTATCATCATATCCCCATCCACCCGGATGACGTTCCGAAAACTGCCATTACCACACCATTCGGTTTATATGAATTCGTACGCATGCCATTCGGACTTATGAACGCCGCTCAGACATTCCAACGCCTAATTGACCAAGTACTCCGTGGTCTCCCTTTCGTCTACGCATACATCGATGACTTACTAATTGCAAGTGCAGACGAAGCCGAGCATTTGAAACATGTGAAGACAGTGTTTGAAAGAGTGAACCAATACGGAATGACTATCAACTTAGACAAATGCGAATTTGGTAAGACCTCACTGGAATTTCTCGGTCATTTAATCGATAGCCAAGGGATCAGACCAGTCCCCGATGACATACAAGCTATCAAAGATTATCCATTACCGGATTCTTTTAAGAAATTACGACGATTTTTGGGTCTCGTTAATTTTTACCGGCGTTTTATTCCGAACTGTGCTAAAGCTTTACAACCATTAACCGATTGCTTACGTGGACATAGTCGTTCATTCCATTTGCCCGCAGAAGCTGTTAAAGCATTCGAAAATGTCAAACAATTGTTAGATGACAAGACACTCTTAGTCAGACGCCAAAATGACGCCCCCCTGTCTCTCATGACAGACAGTTCAGACGTTGCCATCGGGGCAGTTTTACAACAGCAGGTACACGGCGAATGGCAACCCCTAGCATTCTTTTCGAAACGACTGAATCCTACTCAATGTCGCTATAGCACTTTTGGTAGAGAGTTATTGGCTGTTTATTTAGCAATCAAGCACTTCCGACATATGCTGGAAGGTACAGCTTTTACTGTCTTTACAGGCCATAAAGCTCCAACGAAAGCCTTATCAGCAAAACAGGATAACTACTCTCCGCGTGAACTACGACATCTCGAGTTTATATCTCAGTTCACCTCTGATCTGCGACATGTGAAGGGTAAACACAATGAAGTGGCAGACGCTTTATCACGTGTGCACATTGACAACATTGTATGCCCAGACATCGACTACGAACGTCTCTCAAACCTACAACGAGATGATGCCGAGCTAAAAAAGATCATGTCTTCTAAAACAACATCTTTAAAGCTAGACGCGATTCTTTTTGGCACGACAAAAATAATCTGCGACACCTCTACAGGTAAATATCGACCTTTCGTCCCAGCAGCTATGAGACATACAGTATTCGAGAAGTTACATAACTTGTCTCATCCCGGTGTCAGCGTTACTATCAAACTACTAAAAGAAAGATTTATATGGCCGAACATTAATAGCGATGTTAAGAAGTGGACACGAAATTGCTTGTCTTGTCAAAGAGTCAAAATCAACCGTCACACTAATGCACCACTTGGTCGCTTTCCTAATCCCGACTCTAGATTTGAACATATACATGTAGACATAGTTGGTCCACTGCCTCCTTCCAATGGTTGCAACTACATTCTAACTTGCATCGATAGATTCACTCGCTGTCCTGTAGCAGTTCCATTAGCCGACGTCTCCTCGGAAACAGTAGCTAAAGCTTTGGTCGAAAACTGGATAGCTAACTTTGGTGTCCCATCCATTATCACTACGGACAGAGGTGCTCAGTTTGAAAGCCGACTTTTTAACCAGCTAACTGAATTACTGGGCATCAAACGAATACGAACAACCGCCTACCATCCTAGTTCCAACGGCATGGTTGAACGCCTTCATCGACAACTCAAAGCCGCGCTCGCTGCTTCTTTGACTCAAAACGACTGGTCAACCAAACTCCCACTGGTACTGCTTGGTATACGATCTGCTCTAAAGAAAGATATTGGCTGCTGTGTTTCCGAACTAGTCTATGGAACAACATTACGATTACCAGGAGAATTTTTTACCCCGGGTAACCAAGTTCCACAAGATATGACTGGTTATGTGCACCAGCTAAAACAACACATGAACGAGCTCAAGATATCACTTCCACGCCAGCAGGAACGAAC